GGAGTTGTTAACCAATGTCATAAAACAATATGTGTACTACTGTTTCATGAGAAACTATTTGTTCTGTAAGCCTTCACCTGAAGTACAATAAAAAAAATAGTATCAAGCTTAAGAATTTTGCAGAACTCAAAATAGTACACAAAGTACAATTATTAGATAAATAATATTTGTTAAAGCCTTAGAACAGTGTCTGGCACATAGTAAGCATATTTAAGTGTTAAAAAATTTCCATCCTACCTGTTGTTAAATTCCTGTTAAGCTTTGTCAGGCAAAATTTAAAATTGCCCATTCATCCATATAAATATAAAATTAGCCTCAAAACTCCTTATCTTCCTGGAAGCTGTTGATATCGACCAATGAGCACAACCTTAACTATTAAGATATGAATTCAGCCCAAACTGAAAATTTTAAAAAATTACATTGCATTAAGACAGCTTTGAAGTGGGCTTCCAATATTTCATAAGTTGGTTTGTAACTATTAAGAATTTTAAGTTTTCAAAGAAATTCACTAAAAGGCTGAAACCAGAGATAAAACCTACCAGAATCAGAATATCAAATCTACCAGCTATCTCGTTTTTACGTAGATAATAAAGTTTATCACTATTCGCTGCAAGGTCCTCTACCAATCAGGTACATTAACTGAGCATTTCCCTCACTCCAAAACACCTTGTATGTATAAATGCATCATTCCTAATCCCCCTTGTAAGTATACGTTTTTTCATGATTACTGTATTATTTTGACTGAGCTTTCAAATAGATGCGAGTGTCTTCAGGAACTAATCATGTTTTCTGGGGATTGAGCTGATACTAATACCACCTTGTAAGCATTTTTAGGGCACCTACTATCTCAATCAAAGTTAATAGTCATGAGGGTGAGAACTCAACATTTGTCTTTCCACAACTAACAAAGTACCTGGTTTTAAGTTTATTGAATGAATTTAAAAGAACAGTACACAGGTGGCAAATTAATTCCATGTTAGAGTGAAATTAAGAATGGGATTTATGACATTCACCCTAATTTAAAAAAAGTCATAGCTCTACAAGAAATAGTGCTTAAAGAATTTGAAATGCTTCTAAAGTAGGTCACTTACCTGAACTCCTCAGACACACAGATACTTGAGGATCGGGAGACTGACTAACGTATTAGACGAAATTTCCAACTCTAGGTATTATTAAAACTCTCAAGGGGATGTGTTATAAGTTCATTTTATTTGAGTGCACTAGAAAAACTACAAGGTCTGAATACTATGATACAATACAAAATTAAAAAACTTAAAACTACTGCTTCATTTCTAGTAGTGGCCATGGTAGTTTTAGAATTACTCATCAGAACATGGTTAACTACAAAATTAAGTTTTAGAAGCTTGTTCAAAGATGCTATCACCACCAAGTTTTACCACACAAAGCAACATATACTTCTGCTGGCAAATGGACAAATAGACATTCTAGAATGTTAGATATTTCTTTTAACTTGTCAAAATAACTGACAATTACAATTGGCATAACAAAGCTTATTAAGAAAATGTTCTGCATCCTACTTTGCTGAGCGGCAGCTGGGGTTTTAAAAGCTTGCAAGCGGCCATCTAAGATGCATCAATTGGTCCCAACCACTCGGAGTAAAGGAGAACAAAGAACACCAAAGACACAAGGAAAGTATCAGCCCAAGAGACAGAATGGGTCACATAAACCAGAGACTTCATCAGCCTGAGACCAGAACTAGATGGTGCCCGGCCACCATCAATGAACGTCCTGACAGGGAACACAACAGAGGGTCCCTGATGGAGCAGTAGAACGATGGGATGCAGAACTCAAATTCTAATGGTCTAAGACTGGAGGCGCCCCGGAAAGCATGGCCCCTCGACTGTCTATCACCCCAGAACTAAAACAATTTCTGAGGCCAACTCTTCAGACAGGGATTGGACTGGACTGTGGGACATAAAGTGATACTCATGAAGAGTGTACCGCTTTGT